AGCCTGAGGCAGCAACTATGCTGGAGAGCACATAGAGCAGAGCTGGAGGGAAAGAACACCGCAGGCAATGACTACGAACAGCATGTTCAGTGAGCTTACGGATAGAAAAGGATGTGGTAGCCATAAAACACATGAAGGTTAACAATGTTATGTTTAGAAAGGGGCAATGCTAAGGCAAGCTTGTGTTGCAAAAGGAAAGAGCCAGAGAACCCTAGGGATGGGGTGACAATGGGAAAAGAACTGGGTTGGGAATGCAGCCGACAAGTAACTATGGTGTATACAGTATGAGGGAGGTTCTGCAAAAGGGGAAGCCATGACTAAAACATAGGATGTGGAAGTCTAATTTTCCAGTTTTCTCTATGTGCAAAGATCACATAGGTGAAGGAGGATTGGAAGAAGCATGCTAGAGGAGGTAGGAAGGCACCCGTGGGAAGTGCAGTTGTTTGGGAGAACTGTGGGGAAGCTCCTTGTCCTGGACCTGTGGCAGTTTAAGAGCCTGGGGTAAGGGCATACAGCACTATCACTTTTTACAAAGGAGGAATGGGCAAAAATTCCATATAGAAGAGTGTGAAAAGGAGGAAGAGCAAGGGACCAGGTTACACGTGCTCTCTTATGAGATATCAGGTAGTGGCTGGAAGAGAGAAAGAAAACTCAGCAGAGAGGGCAGAGAAGAAAGGTGGGGATTTGGTGGGTGCCTAGGAGATGGACTGCACTTCTGCTGATGGAGTGGGATGAGATGGGGACAGTGGGGGAATTTCAGTTAGCTTCTGCCATCCAGGGCAGCCACAGCCCTGGCTATGCTGCTGCCTTGTTTCACTTCTGTCCTTCTCCCCTATTTCCTGCTCCTGTTGCCCCGTGATGGATGTGCTTTGTTCACCAGGCCTCAGTCCTTTATTGCTCCCTTCTTAGCCCAGGCTTCAGAATTGCTTTAGCTCTTCTGTTGGTTAAAAAAGGCTCCCTGACCTTTGTGTGCATCACCTGCAGCTCATCCTGGCTGCCTCATGGCATCCTCCTTCTGCTGCTTACAGATGTGCCTTTATTTTTCCTTTCTTCTATCTCCTGATGGATTCTTTTTCCCTCTTTTTTTCTCACTTCTGTATCATTTCCTTTTCCTCATTTTGATAAAGCAGGTACCTAAAACCCAGTGTAGCTGGTGCAGCCCTGACTTCTATAACGCACCTTGGCTGCGCTAAAGTGTAACACCACTAATCTTACCTGACTCAGAAAAAAACCAACAAAAAAAAACCTGAACCGAATATACACTGTATCTCTGCAGCCAATATACCACAGGTTTTAAATTTCCTGGTGATTTCCTTCTTTAACTGCTCAGCAAGGCATTATTCAGGCAGCTGCACCGAGGGACCAATATAACATGTGTTCTCCATTTTGGAACCTTTATGTTGGGAATTTTCCATTGTGCAATTGCATTAAATCTGAGGCAACTGACAAGTGCGCAATGGTTTCTAACTCTGCACAAGGTTAAATGACTGAAATAAAAATAGATGGAGAAGAAAACAAAGTAAGAGAAGTTTGCTTTCCCATGCAGTGGCAGGCAGCACCATGAGGTCAGGGACTGATGCAGCCTGCCATCAGTCAGGGGCTGCTGCCGAGGCTGAGGCATTGCACACTGGAGCCAGCACTCGGGGTGATCTTCTGGCTCAGTTCTCATTCTCCTTCATACACACAGATCATACAACCAGAAGACTGTGTTCAAAGTCTTCATTTTTACATGGGGTTGTAATAATGACTGTATTACTCACATTGAACATTTCATAGGTTTGGGTTTTAGTCAGAAATGCAAAAGTGGCTGTTAATTTTCTCTCAGAAATTTAGACAAGGAGTCAGAGGCAGGTGCCAGCCACAGAGTTCTACTGTGATCATGATGCTGCTTGAACAACCAGTAAGAAAAGCCTCATAAATCAAGGCAAAATGGGGCACCATTGATTGATGTAGTTTTCTTATTGAAGCAGAGCTTTTATCCATTGACAGAGTTAATGGTTTTTGTTCAGGTAAAGAATGAGCTGACCTCAAATGCTAAATTCCACTCCGTTCTGCATTAAATGCCCATAGGTACTCTCCTGCAATACTCTGTATCTGCACATGCTGCTCCCTCCCACAGACCCACGGCGACAGACGGCCATATCTCATGGTAGCCAGGTGTTGTGGTGTTGCTACTTACCTGCACTCTTTCTGCTTTCATCTTAATAATGCAGCTCTCTTTCTGATACCTTCCAAGGTTTATTTGTAGAACAAGCTCTTTAGTACTTACTGTTGCAACTTCAATTAGCCAGAAAGCGCAGAGTCTGTTGGACCATCCATGACTCCTGTGCAGTGCTCTCACTCCAGCCAGTGGCTCTGCAAAAAGAAGGCAGAGTACAACACTTCAGTGCTAATTCAGTGCTTTGAAACCACTAAAAGGGCACTTTGCTGGGCAGAATCTCATCATCCAAGGCAGTAACAGGTGCAATAGTAGCCATAAACAACCCCCACACCACTCAGCACGCAGAAAGGATTATTATCCATACTGAGGCATGAGCCTGCACCTGCACTGTGTTATTTTGTCTTTGTTCTCTGCTGAGGGCAGGCAATGGCACACTGAGTGCTCTGAACGAGTGCTGGTGCTTCACCTGCCACCCTGCTGGCCTTAGAGCAGGGCTGTTCGGGGGGGGAACGCTGGGGTCTGCTGCTCTGAATGCCCCCAGCTTTGCTGCTGGCAGCTAGCTGAGCCAGCAGGGAGCGGCCATAGAGGTGAAAGCTGTGCAGAGCAGCAGTGCTGCCACAGGCATCCTGCAGCCTTTGAGCACCTGCCAGGCTCCTATGTGGCCTTCAGCTAAGGTACCTCTGGAGGGGGCTCTTAGTTTGACAAGGCCCTTTGGGTCATGCAGGTGGACAGGTTGCTCTGTTGTTACGTGAGCCACAAAGTTGTGCAGCTAGCTGGTTTTTTCAGCCACAAATGGGAAATTATCCATTTACGTCTGCAACGTGTCAGTCTGTGGCACAAAATGAGATATATGTATGTGCCTGTTCTGTGAAAAAGTATTTTTGGTTTAAGGCTGTGCAAGACAGACCATTAAGATAAAAATAAATCTCCAGAACTCAGTGCATCTAAAACCAAAATTGTTTACTACAGGCTATTATATTTATTCCAGTCATGGGATATTCAACTACTGACATGGGAACTGCAATACATAGTTTTAAATTCTACATTTGGACAGAAACGCACAAGGTGTAGCTTTGAGAATTTGGATTTAAGAGCACAGAACATAGAGTCGAGCCTTAATAAGGTTCCTCAGGAGTAAAACCAGTGGTCAGGGTGCTGCCATGGGTGGGATGTGCCAGCTCTGCTGCTGTGTCAGATGAGAACACACACGCAGAGATGTGTTGCTTTGGAAGCTGTGCTGGCTGAGGACTCATCACTTAGGCCTTTGTGTTGTGCATCTGCAGGAATCCATTCCTGCCTTTGCCCTCATGTGGGCCAGTGAACAAGTCCCTGTTGGAACAGCTGTGAAGGTTTGCATGCTGCCTATCACCCATGCTCCAGCCTGTGCCATTTCTTCCTGTCAATCTCTGTTATGGGAGAAGAATATGTGCCTCACTGTAAGGAATAATTAGGTGTAAATTAACAACAGACGTGAAAACTCAACCATGTACTTCTCTAGACAGTGAAAAAGGAAAAGAAAGCAGGTATGCAATTAATTCTGTTTGCTGTTGAAGGACACTAGAGTACCTTTTGTAAGAATTTGGTAACGATTTTAGGACTGCCATACAATCTAAGTGTCAGGAATATTCCCTTTTAAATGTTTGTTAGTGTATATCTATATATATAAATCTATTTGGTATTCTTCTTTTCCAAAATATGAATGAAATTCTGACACCTGGGCCAAACTCAGTGCAGGGCTTATTTTTAATGCTGAGGGTTTGGGTAATACAGCTGATATCACACTGGCTACAAGGGGAAGATGCACGACAGACACATTCATAATGGGGTCTGGTCAACTTTCACTCTGTTCTGCATCAATTAAATGAGGAAAATAAAAACAGTAGTGTCAGTACTTTGAAAACAAGCAATTATTTCAACACTTTCCTATCACTTTAGCTGACAGTACTATGCTTGCTGAATACTATGGTCAATGAATGATTAAATTTTTTTCTGTGTATTTAAAGGTTAAAGTAATTAAAACTGTCAAATCATTTCCTTTTTCCAATAAAACATCCTTCAGATGTATAGCTTGCCTTGGTAGCAGCAGTTTGGGCCTCCTAATGGTGTACACAGGGCGCTGTGCAACAAAGCTCATCCTCTCCATCCGAGTATCTAGTGCAGCCTGGGGACACACTGCCATGGGATGTGAGCCCTGACAGCAGTCCTTGGAGGAGCGAGGAGACAGAGATGGTAGACTCGTGTACATTCAAGTGCTGTAGCTTCAGTCCATGAAAGCAGCGCGTGGGCTCTGCTGCCATTATGCACTTTTTTATTACTTTTCTCATCCATTAGGAAAAGACAGCTCTCAGAGACTGGAGAACACTCCTCCCCTTTGAGCTTCTCTCCACCATTATCCATCTAAGGAACATTTTCCTGCCACTGTTTGTTCCTAGCTGAGTTTAAGACCAACGAGTTTAAGATTTTCAGCTTCACCAATGCTCACCCACCTGCCAGTCTGTGCAGGAGCAATATAGAGCAGGTGCTGAGATAAGTGTGCACTCCATGTAAGAATTTGACCAAATAACAATAAGAGAGAGAGTGAGCAGGGAATGACTCAGTAATACCCAGTGATAAGAGAGAAAACCTAATACACTTAAATATCCTTAGAAGAGAGCTGTCAGATTTGATGACAGCCTCTTTTATGGCATTGATAGAGTAGAAGATGCTTCAGTCAGATACCAGTACAGCTGCTGGTCCACATGGCCACAATCAGCCACTGGAGAAAATGTGCTATGTAACTGCAGATAGATACAGCCTATCTATCTGTTTCTGTTACCCTTTCCCCTCTGTTTTTTCTCAGGTACAACTTGTTTGATTGCGTTGCTGTCAGATAAAGAGCTCACTGTGGCCAATGTTGGTGATTCGCGAGGCGTGCTGTGTGACAAGGACGGGAATGCCATCCCCCTGTCACACGACCACAAGCCCTACCAGCTGAAAGAGAGGAAGAGGATTAAAAGAGCTGGTGAGTTATAACATTTTTGCTTTGGATTGAAAGTTCGTCTTTTTCTTCTCTGCTGTCAATAATATAGACTTTTCCCCTGTGAGACAGTGAAAAGTACCAGACCGAGAAACCAGCAGATAAAATCTTCCATTATTAATACAGCACTTTTCAGAGGGATTTCATGGTGCAGACTGAGAAATGGAAACAGGCTGACCTATCCCTTAATGAAGCAGTGTCAAAGTAAGAGGAGCAGCCTTCATCTTCTACAGCCAGTTGACTGTCCCAGCTGGTTCCCTCCTGATCTCTGCAGGGAGCAATTAATAAACAGGCACAGCACCATTACAGGCTTCTCCACACCGCATCATATCAGCAGCCTTTATGTAAGAGGCTGGGTCTTAAGCTGAGTGCAATTTAGTTACTAAAATAAGCAGACCACGAATCTAATTAATAAAAGCTACTTTTTGTTCCCATATAATGACTGTAAATGAGCACAAACACATATACAGTAGCAGAAGTACAAGGAAAAGAACATTAGAAATGGTAACCTTACACAATAAATCTTTCTAGCTTTCTTAACTTGTCACTTGAGACCTCCTGGGCCAGAAGTTGCATTTGGTATCTCAAGTTTAATGGTCAATTCTCCATGAATTTGTCAAAACCTCTTTTGAAACTGTTTCTATTTTGGTTCCCATAGCAGCCTGCAGCAGCAAATTATTTGATGAAGAAAAAGTTCCTCTTACTTGTGTTAACCATACTGACGAGCATTGCCTCTAGAGATGCATTGTTTCTCTGCCTCAAATTCTTCATCTGTTAAATGGAAATAATACATTTTTTTCCTGAGTGTAAAACATTTTTAAAACCTATAGGTATTCAGTGGGCTCACACTAGTATAAATGCCTGTACATGGCAAACTCATGCCTTCTGCTGTTTGCTTTTATCTCCGAGGAAGCTGAAGAGCAGTGTGATTCTTCGTGCCACTACAGAGTTTGAGGGTTGTATAAGTTCCCAAAGGCGAACAGAATGTAGAAAGATCTCGAGAAGAAAGAATAGGAAAATTCTAGTCTCACTTTTCTTCATTCAACTGTATACTTGGGATCTGTACTAAGAACATCTGGAGATCTTTCATTCAGTAGTTGAACTTCTTAAGGCCTCCTTTACCAACATCATCGAGGTGCTCTGTACAACTGTGCATTTAGAGAAGGCCTTTGCTTGCAGCTCTCATGCTGCAGTCCCCAGAAGCCAACACACAGATTGCTCCTGAGTGTTCCTGTAAGGCAGTACAAGGTTGCCACTTCTGTTTAACATCTTCATTGATGATCTTGATGAGGGGATTGAGTGCACCCTCAGTAAGTTTGCAGACATCAAGCTGGGAGGGGCTGTTGATCTGCCAGAGGGGAGAAGGGCACTGCAGAGGGACCTGGACAGACTGGATCGATGGGCCAAGGTTAACGGCATGAGTTTCAATAGGGCCAAGTGTCGGGTCCTGCATTTTGGTCACAACAACCCCAGGAAACCCTACAGGCTTGGGAAGGTGTGGCTGGAAAGCTGCCTGATGGAAAGAGACCTTCGTGTTCTGATGAACAGTCGGCTGAACATGAGCCAGCAGTGTGCCCTGGTGGCCAAGAAGGCCAATGGCATCCTGTCTTGTATCAGGAATGGTGTTGGTGAGCAGGACTAGGGAAGTCATCCTGCCCCTGTGCTCGGCATTGGGGAGGCCTCACCTTGAATACTGTGTTCAGTTTTGGGCACCTCAGTACAGAAAGGACGTGGAGGTACTGGAGCAGGTCCAGAGAAGGGCAACGAGGCTAGTGAAGGGCTTGGAAAATCAGCCCTATGAGGAGAGACTGAAGGAGCTGGGGCTGTTTAGTCTGGGGAAGAGGCAGCTGAGGGGAGACCTTACTGCTCTCTTCCAGTACCTGAAAGGTGCTTACAGTGAGAGCGGGGCAGGTCTCTTCTCACTGGTGACAGGTGAAAAGACGAGGGGAAATGGCCTCAAGTTGCGCCAAGGTAGGTTTAGGTTGGACTTTAGGAAACACATCTTTACAGAAAGGGTGGTTAAACATTGGAATAGGCTCCCCAGGGAGGTGGTTGAGTCGCCGACCCTGGATGTGTTTAAGAGCCATTTGGATGTGGTGCTCAGAGATATGATTTAGCAGAGGGTTGTTAGGGCACTATGGTTAGGCTGCGGTTGGACTTGATGATCCTTGAGGTCCCTTCCAACCTGAGTAATTCTATGATTCTATGAGTCTATGATTCTACTGATACCAACATTTGCAGCCAGTACCAAAGGAAAGCCACTAGCTGAGAGAACAGAGCCCTTGCTTTCTTACAGACATTGGTATTACCTGCTCAACAGCATGCTTATGTAGTTAGCAGTGTGAGTCACAGGTCCCGGTCAACCCTGCCTGCTGCTATGACTGGGAGCTGCTGCCACACACTCGTGACTGCTGCAGTGCTGCTCCTCTTGCAGCTGAATGAGAGCAATCCCAGCACTCTGATCCTTTCCCATGAGACAGAAAAATGCACATCTTTCTGCAAAAAATACAAATCCCCTGACTGGGATGTCCTGAGCAATGGATACAGTATTCACTCAAGTGGGGGCTGTGAAAAAACTGCAGTCTTGACTTGTGAAGAAACGCTCAGTTGTAGCACCACAAGGTGACTGTCACTGATAGAAACTGTATTCACCTTGAATGCACTCCTTGGAGCTGAACTCTCTAAGTGTGGAATGTTTGTGTGGCTGCCAAAGAGCTTCTATTTCCTTAATGTCTTTTCTTCTCCAATGACAGCTGGAACTGCAGAACGTTTGCTTTTTCTTAAGAATTTCTAACTACTCTGTATGGATGACTTTATAAAACAAAACACTACAGGTGCCAACAGACACTTCACTGAACCTCAGGAACTTGTGCCACTGTCACTTTCAGCTGCCACTTGACAGCAGCACTGGAAAGTCATTTTGCATGTATAAGCACTGCCTGCATAATTTACTGTCAGTGTGCTGCAACCAGTTAGCAGCATCAGCTATCTCCTCTGTGAGTGCAGTAATGGATGTCAGCACTGCTTTCCTCTAATTGTTTGTATAATACATACTTAAAACTGCCTCTTCTTAATGGCATTTTGCTTCCCATCACTCCAATATGTACGTATGATTACTCTAAGGTACTGCAGTTCTAAACACTTGTGAAAAAAGTGCTGGGAAATGGATGGCTGAGTAACTTGCAATCAAGATGCCCTCGAAACATACTGCAGCAGCTGGACAAGGCTTATGTGACTGCATAGCTGAGGTGGAATTGCAGTAGGGCAGAGTGAAAAGCTGAATGCATTCTGATTACTATAAAGAACAAATGTTTTTCTAAAAACACCAAAGCAAACAACTTGCAGATGTAAAGGCAACAATTCTTCTAATTTGGTTACATGTTTTAATGCTCCATGATAGACATTTTGCAAATTATTTGTCCTCAAGCGACTCTGACTTTTGATTCATGTTAAGACTGGAGGAAATATAGCTACACATCATTGCAGACAGTGGCACACAGACACATGCACACAAAACTGAAGGTGCTTCAATTCTGCTTTGACCTTGAGGCACTGCATAGTTCTCTCCCTAGCACAGTCAGGCTGGGTGCTGCCCAGGTACTGGCTCTGTCAGTCACTGACTTCAGTGGGAGATGTATCTTCCTGTAAGCAGTTCCTAAGCACTGTAAGAGATCTGCAACTAGAAGTAGCCCTAATCCTGGTGATGGTAAGTGCAGTCAGTCAAATGCCACAGTGCATTTTTCTAACTCAGAATAATACTTTATGATGGGTTTGTTCACAACACTGTTCTGATATTTTTTGGCACACCTTGTGCAGGGCAGTTTGCTAGAAGAGCACTAACTGGAAGGCACAATCCAATTCTTCTTTGCAGTACTGTGATATTTAATTATGACATCTGCTTTTTGAGATGTGTAACATTTATAAACCTCAGGATACCGCAGCGTCAATTTTGGAGTGGATGTGGCAGGAGGTTGGAGAAAGTTTTAACAGTGTTTGTGTTTCTCTCCAGGTGGATTTATCAGCTTTAATGGCTCCTGGCGTGTTCAGGGCATCCTGGCCATGTCCCGCTCATTAGGAGATTACCCTCTGAAGAACCTGAATGTTGTCATTCCTGACCCTGATATTCTCACCTTTGACCTGGACAAACTGCAGCCAGAGTTCATGATCCTGGCATCTGATGGTCTGTGGGATGCCTTCAGCAACGAGGAAGCCGTCCGATTCATCAAGGAACGCTTGGATGAGCCACACTTTGGAGCCAAGAGTATAGTTCTACAGTCATTTTACAGAGGGTGTCCCGATAATATAACAGTGATGGTGGTGAAGTTCAGGAATAGCAGCAAAACAGAAGAACAGTAATTACCAGTGGTTCTTTGCCTCACCGAACTTAAAACAAACTCTTACATTTTAAACATAGTGGAAAGCTCTAGTAAATCCCATTAAGATTCCACGCAGAAAGAACAGATTCCTCTGGGCTTTGTTCTTTGCTTAACAAAAGGAGCAATATAACAAATACATTTTGTGTGATGATAAGAATTAAGTTTCTTCACAAGCACCTGTCTCCTGTGACCTTGCTGCTCCTTAGAAGCCAACTGTAATCTTTCATTTCACAATTTCCTTTACAAATCCCATGTATGCTTTTCATTTCTCACCTCTCCTTTCTAAAAGAGGTTCGTTCAGATACACAGCAGGGTCAGGGCAGTACTGCTGCTTAATAGCAAGTGATAGGAATGATGTTGCTTTTTCACTTGTAGATGTGACGTTTCAGAACAATGCTCTAATGTTTCTCATCTCTTTTTTAATCTGCAGTGATAAGGTTGTGTTGGAAAAGGTTTGTAATTGTTGGTCTGTTACGAAGGAGGGAAAAGAGCCAACTACTAGTCTGCTATCACAGAACTGGCTCTCACACTTTGTTTTTTCCACCGTCAATTAAACAAATTCCTGCCAAGCATGTGGTTAGGTATAGCTACTGAATTACCTGAAGACAGGTTTATTCAACCTGTGCATTCCTTTAATAACGTTTATTCTATGCTATGTTGTAATGTTAAGCTCCATCAAAATACTCCGAAGTCTGTCACCTTCTCTATCAAAAAAATAGCTCTACTGTGATAGAAGAATGAGTGCTATTCACTGAGACTCCTTCCTATTAGGTTCTTGGCATGGACTTTTCACAGTCAAGTAAGAAAACAATGCAAGATAAAATTAATTGCATTAGTTTTTGTAAAACTAATCAAAGCAGAGTGCTCTATGGAGCTGCCTAGATGGAAGTCATGGCTACGAAAACTTTGTACCACTGCAGATTAATTTGTGGTTTTAATCTGGGGGAAGACCACTTTAGGACTGAGTTTTGGTATAGTATATAAATGCCAGACAGTGTAATTGCACTGTTCAGTTGAAAGCTTGTGATAAATCTAGATAAAAATATTTTTTTATCTAACTTTCAGTATTTAATTATACTTTGGAATCTGTGACTATTGTCTAAGCTGTACATCTGATAACTCAGTTGGCCACTTCACAAACAAGTGGCAGCAGTGGTGGTGTACAGGACGTGTTTTAGAGGAACACATCAGGGCCTGAGGTAGATGTTAATATTTTGGGTGGCTTGCTTCCCTGTATCATGTCCCCTAGGATCCCTTCCCTTCAAAACATGGTCCTCTGGATGATCCGCTGAAGTCTCTTGTCTGCAAGGTAATGGAGGTACTCAGTCCCTGGGCCCTGAGCTAAAGCAGGGATATAATGTGGTAACTGACGCTGTCTGTTTCTTGGATGAAGATACACAATGAATTAGATGAAAAACTGCCTTGTGCTTATCACCCACCTGGAGTGTTTTTTGAGAAAGGGGCTTGCAGTCTCAAATACTGTCATCTGTTGTGGTTGTGTTGGGCAGGTATGATATCTCTCAAGACAGAAATGAAAGAACACAAATTCTGCTTTCCACTCACGAAAGAATTCTCATCTTAGTCTTTTCACTTTGATTTCTAGGTGATCTCTTCCCTAACAACCTTAGTTTGTTTGGGGATCTTAATTAGATATGTTGCCACTGACAGTGCCCTTCCAATTGTATACGTGTCCTTAAATGTCTACATTCTCTCCTCCTTCAAAACTGTGAGTATTTGGGCTCTGAGTAATGGTTAATGCATGCCAGTGAGCAACAGAAGCATGAAAGTGTCCAGCGTGCTCTGAAACTCCCTGCACTGTCCCTCCCCAGAGGATGGAAGGTTTCAGATGTTTTTAATCGCTTGAACAGGACGGACAGCACTCAGTTAATTTTAAATGCAATTCTGCAGTTAAATGGAGAGGGTAACAAGGAAATGCTAATAATTGCACACTGCTTCAGTTATTTAATTCTGAAATAAGTTTTTGAGGTCAAATGTTGCAAAATGCAAACCTTGTGTGATATTTTCATGGGAGTGCTTCATCATGGACTCAGTAATGCTGCAGCAGCAGTATCAAAACTGTGCTCTGGGCAGAGCTCATGGTGCGTGTAGCATTTGCCTTTCCTTTCTCCTTCACAGATGATGTTTCTGTTGCACTGGCTTTTCTTTGTAGAACAGAGACTGGATGTTTGTCAAACAGCTGCCCAGGGAAAAGAAGAATTAGATGTAGCAGTTCACAGAAGGCTAAGGCTGAGAAGTTTGTACAGCTGCTACAAATCCTTTACAAGCATTTGAGAAGTTGGAAGCAGAACAATGGTCAGCACCAAGAAAAAAATGACAGACTAATGCCACTTCAGAGAAAAGATTCTGGCTGCCAGTAAACCTCTCTACAACTCAAATTCTCAAGTTATCAAGCATTGCTGAGGAATTGCAGACCTTCTCTTAAGCACAGCTAGCCCTCTGGTTGCTCTATTGAAATGGATGGGAAGAGGAAGTGATGGGAAACGTGTGTGTTCACAGACTCTGGCAGCATGAGGAAGCTGTGGGACAATGGCACACGCTAGGAGTAAAGTGAGCTCTTGCATGGCTTGCTGAAAGGATTTAAGAAAACCCAGAGTACAATACAAAACTGTTTTGAGGACTTTATTCACTCACAAGGCCACCCAGTCAGTTAAACAACCCTATTTCTACCTTTGAGTGTTTGCAGTTGCAACAGCAGTCGATGTAGCACTTTTAATTTTTTCTGCAACACTCCCACCTCTTTAGTAGCTCCCTTTCCTGGCTGAAGGTGTTCATGCCAACACCATCTTGTAAGGCTGTTGATATTTCTTAATTTTTTTTTATTTTTTTAAACAAAGATAGTTTAGGGCATGGTGGTGATGGGTTGGATGGTGGGACTAGATGATCCTAGAGGACTTTTCCCACCTTTAATGAGTCCATGATTCTATACTTACAGCTACTTTAGGTTTAAAAAGATGAAGGACTAATGAAGATGACAGGCTTTGTGCAGTCTTCCGCATATGCAGTGCCTACCCATGTTACTCATTAGATGTCTTCTAAGAAGCTTGCTAATCTGGTTCTAGCTTTCCAGTCATGCCAATTTGTGCCAAATTCTGTTGTGTTACATACAGCTGTTGGATGACAAGATTAGCTAATGTACATACTGCTGTACAGCCTGAAAGATCCTCCACTGCTCTGATATATCCCATCTATCCTATATTCTACATCTGGAAAGAAATATCCCCACAATGTCAGAGCTGTGCAACAGAACGTGGTCCAGCATTGGAGAGGTAGCAATTTCCACACACCATCCAGTGCTGCTTTCCTGCCTAGGCTCCTGCCCAGAGAAGGGATGCACATTTTGGTTAAAGTGCCTCACATATGTCTCAGAGCTCCCTGATTCCTGTGTTACACGTTTGTGAAAGTCTTTTGATGGTTAAGCCAGAGTAGGTCCATCGGCGGCATCTGTTCTTAAAGCAGGTGCTGATATATTGAACTGCTGACAAAGAGCATTTTTCATACGGTCCAATCTGACATACAGAGCTTAGGCTCTTAGTGCTACTGAAAACATCAGTATAACTCCTGTGATAGAGATACTGCCATGTCGTGTGTCGTGTGGATAACGTGCGGACTTAGAAAGGCTGCTCCTCCCAGCAATGGCAGGGCTACCAGTGTGGCCATTTGTAGCTCCCCGTAGCAGAGGGAATGCCAGCCGTGATCTCACAGCTCCGCCCAGTGGCAGGCATCAGCACATGAGCCCTGCTGGGCTTCTCAGCGCGAACTGCTCTGGTAGCGCATTTGGAAAATGTGATCTCAGACTGCACCGTGCCTTGTGCACATGTTCGCTGTAAGGTTAATGCAGACCATTCTCCCAGCTGCTAAAGCAGCACAGGCAAAACAAGTGCAGCCATAGGCATAGCTAAGAAATGCGGGCACTTGGTTGCTAAAACTGTGTGAAACAGTCTGGCATACCATAACTATGCCCTGCATCCCCTGCCAGCTACTGACTTGTAAACTGAAGGTCAGTACCAAAACTACTGCTACTATTACACTATGATACCTTTTACATACAGTAAAATAAAAGTTGTGCAAATTTTAGAATACAGAAGGTTGTACTCAAACACCACATCAGCCTGAAGTAACCATGCTTGCTGCATTACATCACCTCAGAATATACAACACCCTTGCTTTATATACTATTAATGTATCGCTAATGTATCTAATAATTACTTGATACAGAGAAACATTTCATAAATGCTTATATCAAAGAAAAAAACCCAGCTCGTCAGCTTTCATTCTAGGCAGTAAGTTTTTAGGCCTCTATCCTGCAACCTGGCCATACAAAATCGTGAGATTAAAAGTTAGAAAATTCTGCTCAAGTTTGACAACCATACAGACCAGAGCTGCTGCCCTTCAGTCCTGTCAATGTATAACTTACCTTTCTAAATCTGTGGAGTCATATCTAATGCTACCTAGTAAGATATTTACAATTAAGTCTATATTGATTTGAATTTTGAGTTACTTTTATTTGTATAGTACCAACAGGCTTAGGTAAGCAGCAGTTTTAAATACAGTTTTGCCCTAGGTAGCGGTGTCCTAGGCATCAGTTTGTCTCTGGTTATACAGATGTTTTACATATATTTTGCTCTGTTAAGCAAAACGTGTGCTGCCAAAGCAGTTGAAGTTTGTCTAAAGCCATAAATAGAAGCTTAAGTCAAGAGCAAATCTTAACTAATGTTTTGAAATCCAATTTTATGAGTAGGTCGGCTCCTATATCTGATATTAAGGATGAACTCTAAACTAGTTGAGCAATAGGGAAATGAAGCACTTGGTCCTGCATTTAAAGAACTAGCCATGTTTTAAGCCTGTGGTGACAATTAGTACTTCTTGGGACAAAGATGCTCAGCATTCCATTTCAGCCTGTATTCCACCAAGCTAAACAAGCGATCAGTTTCAGTGTTATAGAAATGTAGATGTGGGACTGTCGAACATTGCTCTGTGGCATTCCTACACTGTAGTCAGGGGTGTGAGAGTACTGCAGATGCACTTTAACTGCATGAGCTTTAATCTTGGAAACAATAATAGTCATGAAGTCGATCTGTACAGACTGGCAGTCAAATACCTGCTCAGCACCCCAGCAAGCACGGCTGTGTAAATGCCTCTTCCACTGTTAGACTGAGTGACTGCAAAACCACTGCTACCCACAGTACTTGGAAGTGCTCTCAAAGAACAATAAAGAAAAACTAATTAGGAAAATGACCTGCACATGAGGATTCTGTATGGACAGTGCAGATGTTTCTTAGAGAAAAGCCCACAGAACAGAACATACAAGACAAGAAAATCACAATGTTTAAGCAATTTGTCTTAGTGAAGGCAGCTTCCATTTAGTGTAACAGTGCTGTTTTATCTTAGATGAGAGCCTCTTCAGGCTTCTTTTTAACATTTTTTCTCTCAAAGCCAGAAGTGTTTTTTAAGATTACATCTTCACTGCAAGCTCAGAGGAGACTGCACTTTACTCTTGCTTTAAGGACCACCACAAACAAAGCATTACTGAGAGGAGCAGATAGGGCTTCAGGCTGCAGATTGGGATGCACACAACAGCTACGCCATCGTCACTCCACTATAAAAAAACTTCATTCAGGTCATCAGGATTAATGTGACCTGGAAAATTAATGTGCTGCATAGCAACTGTCAGAAGGCTGGAGGTAAACAGCGCTTAGAGACAGAAGCTGTCCCAGCAGAGGTCACCCGGGGTGAACTCTGTATTTTTAAAGGCTTATTTTATTGGAGGACAACTAAGTCCCAGAGCCCCAGCACTGCAAGTGGCCTAGAGAGCCTGCTTTGGCAGGGGGTTGGACTAGGTGATCTCTGGAGGTCCCTTCCAGCCCTTACAACTCTATGATTCTGTGTGACTCTGTGAAGCTGTGCTATAAAACACATTTCCTCCTACGAGTTGCAGGTTTATACTGACTAGCTGAAAATCATGTAACAGCATTTCAAGGAGAGCAACTACACTGAGAAAGTGGTTTTTAGAAACCCAGTATATAGACAGGGGGAAGGGGTTCTGTTTGCTTTTTACAAGCTTAGGTTTCTTTAGAATAAGGACTCAGTTACTCATAACAAGAAACAAACTATCTGCCTAGCTTCATTTGAACTCTGTTTGCTTTCCTTCTTACACAGAGCTTTTGCATTTGGGTATGGCAATACACAGTAACTGCTTTAAAACTTTCTGCAGTCTATGAAAATCATCTCTTACCCCTACACCTCTGCCTTAAGCAGGCTGTAGACAAAGCAGCCCAAATGGCACACACTAGTCAGACAAAAATAGAGATGAAAAACATGGAGTAGAGCTCTGCCTCCCAAACGCCTTTTGCATGTCTAACATATCTGGCAGACAGATCAGGAATTCAGTGTCACAGTCTGATTAACCTCCAGTCAGTTTCTAGTTTAATTTAAAAGAAATAGAATAAATTTACATTATTTTAATGTGCATCCAGATGTTGAACTACTTACAATGAACTTGCATTGAACTGTGTTAATAGTAACTAGACAATGTAAAACATAGATGTTTCAAACTAAATCATCTTAATGCTGAACTGACTACAGAAAATAAGGCCTCTGAATCTGCAGCACCTGCTTCCTGACTTACATTGAGCTTTATTTGGGAATGCACACAACACCTTGAACCATTCTGACTTATGGACTCGTATGGATAATACACAGGATTGGCACTGTACACAGTAAGCTCCTCTTGCTATGCACCCAGAAGCAGTTTCCAAACATCTTTGTCCAATCAATTATTCCACTTTCCAAGGTTGAAAGCCCCCAGTTTTCCTATTAAAATCACAGTTCCTTGGAATTCTGCTGGAATATGGTTGAGACACTTGTGTGCATAAGAATCTTAGGATGTGGAAAAAATTTAGCCTATAGTTTGTGATTCATTTTCAGTAAACTGCTCTAAGCAGGTGCTATGAAATTTGCACCCACCACTGACTTAAATACTGACATCAGTTCCCAATGGTAAGCTTTTTTTACCTCTTGCATGGCAGCCCACACCAAACTCTTCCAATAGTTGCTTTAAGCAGACATGTGATCTTAGTTATGCATTATTACAGTCTTTTAAGCAATAAGAAGGTTGGGTTCAAATATGAATTGTATCTGGAAGTGAGTTTTTACAAAAAACTCAAGCACAGATTCTGTAATACTTTACAGTGCAACTTTGATGATCTTAAGTTACAGTGTCAGGTGGCATAAACAGATGGCTGTTTTAAACCTACATCTGAGAAAGCAGAAGCCCTGTAGTCTATGAACAGTGTTATCATTCTGGAGCACCAATATAGCAATGCTGGCTTGGTGACACGCACACTTTTACAGCAGTACAGTGCAGCCATTTCTCCACCAGAGTCATTTTATTCTCACCAGGAGCACTGTCTGCTCTCCCTACCCAGCTGCTGAATATTGCATAGTCTTTCACAGTCACATTTTTTTGAAGAAGCAATACAAACTGTACTGTGGTGTCAGTGTTCTTGTCAGAAATCATTTATTTCTAAACATGTAACATGGCAGGCATAAAAGCAAAACAAGAAGGGTTTTTTATTTCCATGTGTAAACAACCAACAAACAGTTCACACTGCTAGCAGAGCTCCTGGGAGCTGACCACAGTGCTGCCCACCAACCAATGGAGCCCAAACCCAGAGGAACAGCTGCAGCTTCCTCTGTTCAAGGAACCACCGAGCATTCTTTCCTCAGTTGTGCAATACTGTATGTTTAGCTATTAGTTTAACAGCAGCAACAAAATGCATTTTTGAAAAACTTTGACCTTCTTGGCAAACATTCTTAGAACACTGAAATCTGAAATACTTGTTTAGACAATATTCTCTCCAAGACATCATTTTTGTATTTCAAAAGGTAATGTTCGATAATTCCACTGTAAAATCATGTACAGTTATGGAAAAGACAGAAGTCAATACTGACCATTACCACAATGTAACAAAAACATTGGTGAAACCTCAGTCTGGGTACTGGAGGTTTCTGCACCTCTTCTAATTCGTCTCTAAGAGACTATCTGAAAGACAGCCAAATGTAAATATGTCGTAACACATTAGCTATAGAACAAAAGGTGGCAGTGCTCTGTCATTCTAGATGTACAGGATGTAACTACAGTATCTTCACTGTGTATTAGATGTGTCTAGGATAATTATGTTCATGCAATTGCAAATTCTGTATTGCTGTCAATTAAAAGTGTAAACTACTGAAACCTTGGCCTTGCTGATATGAATAAAGTGGTTAAAATACCCATCTTTACAGATACAGTCACGTTTGTCTTCTTTAAGACATGAGAAGCCTAGAATGTCATTCTTGTTTTCATTTTAAAATTTCAAGCAAGAAAACTATTTTTGAAATGGATATGAAGTCACAACTTAAGCACATCTGTCTGAATCTTCCCTGGGTAGCTACAATAACTTGGGGTGCATCAGCACACACACACCCGTGTTATCTGATAACAGCACTGCATGAGACATCTCATACCTGAACTGCACGTGAACTCTTCTGCATCTAGCTCTGTAACAGCCTGTGAGCATTAGCAGTTCTACCTGAAAGACATCAAAGCAATTCTATTTTGCATGTATACAAATAAGCTTACATTTGAACACAGACTATAAACATACATACATTCAAACACTGTTTAAATGAGAAGATGCAAAGCTCCTAGAAGAAGGACAGAGGGGATACATTTTAAACAAGAAGGTAGCTCCAAGTTTTGTGCTGTGCAGAGAACAAATACTTGAGGGTGGCAAAGGATCATGCAGTTCACAAAAGGACCAAAAGAAATATCATTAAGCAGTGATGTGAGAAGCATCTTCCCAGCTCATTTCTTGACATAAACATTATTCTTCAGTGACACTTCATGAATTCCAGATTTGGGCAGACATCCCATGGTTACAGCAGAGTGCACGGAGAAGGGTCAAAGCAAGACAGTGCAGTGCATTCCAAATACCCTCTGTGCATAGGATAGGCACGTGGAAATGTGCTCTGTGAGTTCCTAAATAAAGGCACCAGGAACCTCAGAGGATCCCAGAAGAATGCTGCCCTCACAGTTCTGCTTCTGCAGTACAGCTGGCTTTCAATCAATGTCATCTCAACACCTGTTTTTGTTCTATGTTGCCCCGTACTTCAGTTCAACATTTTTACACTGGAATTCAAAGATTCAAGTGATACAAGTGATACATTCATCAATATATTAATACAGAGTCAAAGGCAAGTAACTGAAATGACGGATGACAAATCCTTCCAGAACCTGATCATTTCACTTGGCGTAATGCCATGCACTGCAATCAAGCGTCGGTACTTACAGATATCAAAATCAATTTTATCAATAAAGAATTGTTGATTACCTTCTGGAATACTGATGTTCACCTTAAGTATATTTAAGCAAATTCCAACATAAACATCCTCAAACTTTATAGGTTTGATATGACCCATCAGTTCATAAATCCTCAGAGCCAGTTTTCCATCCAGTACATAACCCATTCCACTGCAGTATGGAGGATAAGACTTGAACGGATATTCATCATAAGAAATGTATGTTTTTTGGTAAAAGCCTCTATAGGCAACATTACCTATAAGAGGATAACCTGTAAAAATGCTTTCCGAGGAGTTGAACTTCAGAAGAAACTTCACTAAGTTACCAGTGTTGATGAAGACATCAGTATCTGTCTTCATGACGAATCTAGCATTAGAACAGAATTCAGTCACCCATCTGAACGCCATGATTGTTTTCAAGGTAAGATTGTTGTAAGTGTCCATAAAATCTTGGCGAATTATGTCACCATAGAGTATGATTTCATCTTCTACTGAGAGTGCTGCGGAATTGTCCTCTGTTTCCGTTTCCTGACCTAATAAGAACAGGGTTAGAACTCGATGTCCCCACCAGAAGCTTTCAGATCCCCATGTTATCCTTATGGCTTGCCTTGACTTCACGTCCTTAGGTCTCGAAGACACCAAGATGACCAGAAATGGATTAATGTCTTTGCATTTCAAGCGTTGATTTGATGTGAAGAGGTAGGCTTGCTTGTAAACCGGTTCATACTCATAGAAATACATGCTGTTCACGTGCTCAACCACAACGTTTGAAGAAAAAGTAATGTACCACATGGTTACAACAGAAAATATGAGAAGAAAGAAAAAGATCCATTTTAATGGGATCACATGCATGACAGTAAATGGAACTGGGCAGTAACCGAAGTATATCAGTAGCCTTCAAAATCTGTACCACAAGTTCTGAAGTACGTCTCTTACTGAAAAAGAAATGAAAAAGTAGTGTTCAGAATGCTATTGTTCAAGCAGTACCTTTTTCTTAGCATGTCAGCTAAAGTGTGCTGTAATGAGGATGAGAAGCCCAAGAGTCATTGGCCCAGCTGTCACATGTAGCATCCTACCCACCATGGATCAGTACTGTATCCCAGAGTGAGCACAAGCAAAATGCTGAGCAGGAAGAGAACATTTCAGTGAACAAGATGAAAAATATCTAACTTAAATTAGATAGACCAATGCTTAGTATTTGATTTTATATAAATAACATTTCTCAGGATTTGACCAATCTGAAGTAAACCACATCAATGTGTGGTCAGTTCTTGACAATCTAAAGGAAAAAAAATCTGGTGATAAAGATTTCAATTCCTTACAGAAAAGCCTGATTCTGTGACATTTTGAACAACAGAATCAGAGACCAATTCCTGATCTGATAAGCAATGAAAAATCTGAGAAACAAGGAAACCATCTCTTCAGGTCCCTTGTCACACTATGCAGAACACAATCTCAAAGCTGCCATATCCTTTCTACATGCTGGCACCACACAGCATCCAGAACAAGAACTCTGTTTGCTGCAACCAGGAATCCTTCTGGTGGAGCTGTGAAAGTTCAGCTCAGGTTCCCACAGACCCTTGCAGTCCTGTTCCTCCCTTCCCACCCCTGCTGGCCCTTCCAAACCCTCCTCACCATCTTACTCATCGAAACACCAACACTGAACCATCTTCACCTTTTTTGGAAATACAGCAGCTAGCACAGAGGCAGAGCGTGCAGCCGCAAAAGTGAGAGAACAGGATGTGTGATCAGAAATGAGTCCTTGCAGACTGCTGGTAGAAGAGGGCAAATGAAAAAAAAGTCCACACTAGGTATGTGCCAACAGCTCCATCAGCTCAACACGATGGTCAACGATGCACAAAGCATTTCTGCATGCGTAAGGTCACGTTCCCTAAGTGATATGCTGACCTGTTCACAAGTTAGCACAGGTTCATCAAAATAAGGCTTTTACAGAGGTCTCTGGGTGGGCACTACACTCCCTGAAACATCAGACAGCTGTTCCTGTAGTGCCCAGAATAAGTAACACAGGCAGGCACCTTCCAGCTTTTAGCAGCAGAACTCTGCCTTCAAGCCAGTGCGGAAAATAAAAGAAGGGCAGATTAAAGGGGAAGCCCTCACTGCAGCGGGTGGCAGAAAATTCCCCTTCTGTTCTTACATCAAAAGCTCAAGCGAAAGAGAAGAGGCAGAGGAGACCAAGTGCAGCTCAAGGACTGCTCCTCTCACGGTGACATTTGTTTCCGGGCTCACGGCTTGCTGGAAAGGCCGCACCACGGTGAAGTTACCTCCACGTGTTCGTTCTACGGCTCACAGCAGTGCCTGGAGGTGTTTTTGCAGGAGCCCGGCCTTCGTAAAGCAGTGCGGCGTTCAGTGCCGCTCGCAGCAGCTCTCACAGACGCCTCGCTGTGCTTCGCGCTGCCCGAGCGGCCTTTCTTTGCTGCAGAAACCTCTTTTGAGAGCTGACACCCACCAGCCACAACTCATTAAGAGGAAGCCTGCCGCCCTCTGCTGAAACTACTCGAAAGTTAAATTGCTTTCATGCTCATATTAGCAAAGAAAAAGGTTAAAAAGTTGTCGGGGACTTTTGTTCTCAGCACCTTTAAGGAACCGCCGGCCCCTCAGCGGGCACAGCGCGGCCAGCACAGCGCTCCGGCATTGCCCGGCACAGCCCGGCCCCTCGGACGCAACCCCTCCCCCAGCTGCCCGCGGCCGCCTCCCGCCCGCCATTACCGCGCCGCGTTACGACGTTCCGCCGCCGCCTCCCGCTCGCCGGGTGTCCGCGATGTCGCGCAGGGCGGAGCGGGGCGGAGCTGCCCGCCTCCCCCGGGTAACGGCACCGCGGCCGCCTCACCGCGCCACCGCTCGCCTCGCGCCTAACGGCCGCCGCGCGCCGCAGCCCGCCTTCCGCTCGCGCCTCAGCGCTCGCGCCTCAGCCCTCCCGCCTCACGGCCGCCTCGGCCCCGCTGTGGCAACGTCTCGTGGGGGTTCCAGCGAGAGAGGCGTTTTTCAACCGAGCTCGGCCTCCTTTAGCCGCAAAATTCACCGCTGTGAGATCTGCCCTCAGAGCCTCCCCGTGTGCCCCGCAGCCATTACGGTGTCGCGCTGCGGCGTTGGGGAGAACACCCCAAAAGCGTTATGGCGTGAGGTTCCTGAGTTCTGACATACGGCAAACGGGCTGCCCCCATGTTTTACAACTCTAAGACTTTAAAATGAATATACGAGCAAACCCTATCGACAATAACCGCGCCCCAGCAAGGCAAACGCACCTTTGGATGCGAGTGAGGCGTGCTCTGGTTCCCATACGTTTTGCATGGCTGCCTGTCTCCCATCTTTCAGTTCACTGTTTATAAAGAAACACAAATACTTTCTTCCGTGGTTTAAAACCTCCTGAAAGAAATCTTACACGTAATCCATCTGTGTCATTAAATACGAAGAATGTACAAAAGTGAGTATGTCACCGTCATCTTTTGTTGCCCCAGTTAGTTCTGGTATAACCCCTTCAGCTTCAAGAGAAACCAGCTTATGACTTGTCTGTCAAGACTGAGGTTTATTTTACTCAATGTGAAATATCAGGGCAACCCATGTCATGAGTATCAGAATGATTACCTGTATCAGTCAGCAGCTTATTTAGCCAGGAGACCTTTGCATCTTTTTGCTGATTATGTACTTCCTGAAGCACAACAGATGTACTGATCCTTATGAGTCCATCTAGGTATAAGGCCAAATAAGTAGTGAAGCACTCAGTATGCATCAGGCTAGCACAATGTAGATCTACCAGCTGTCAAAAAATGGAGACTCAACATGATTCAAATAATATTAGACTGAATTTTCAATTTCCTCTTATTTAATCTATAGCTTAGAACACTAGTTTAAAAAAATCTCTTCTGATTCGGACTCAGATACTTCCTCCTTTCTTATTCCTTTCTTAAAGGAAATCAACACAGCATCTGAGAGCAACAACAGAACAGCTGATAGCAAAGCTAACAAATGTCAGGTAGCTGAATCCCACCGGAGATCAGATCTTCAGATCTGTACTGAGACTGCATCGTGCGTGGTGCAGTTGGACGTGTTCACACAAACATAACTCAGAGTTTGTAATCAAAGCAGACCACTTCATGCAGGAAGGAACTGGAAGAATAACTGCTGAGTCAAAGGCAGCCAGCTTTAGAGCGCAACACATTTTTAAGTGCAAGGCTAATATAGCTTGATTTTGAGTCCGTGTGTACCTACACAGGCTTACATTAGAAACCACTTGAGATTAATATATTGCTGAGAGATGAGATACTCTGGTGAATCAGGAACTTTGTCAATGCATGGACTGATAAGCCTGGGCAAACCAATAGGGTTTTCCTTCCTCACTGGCTGTGTTATTAAGTTTCTTCTCCAAAAGGGATGCAGTAACAAAGTGATGTCTCTGTGGTCACGCACTGAAACTGTTGCAGGTGGGTGGTGGTTCTCTGGACTGCGGGGTTAGGATGTATAACCACATCACTGCTGATTCAGAGCATGCATTTCTTCAACATAAAAAGAGTTCCTATATTCTAGAGGATGGTCAAGTGTGTATGGTTCAGTGTTTGAGCATGTTTAGAGACCTTTGGGCTTTGTGACCCATTGCTACATTACTCACTGCAGTTCCACCCACAGGCTTGGCATTGAACATTACACCTTCATAAATACTGTTTGCATGTTATCAACTCAATAAAAGCCAGAATGTATTTGTACAGAGCTTTTACTTACTTTTCATAGCACAAAGCAGCTGCTTCCACTTCCTTTTCCTTACTCTTTGTGCTCCATCTGACGGAGGAAGAAAGAAGTCTTACTGATAAAAACTGGCTCCACAGAAGACAGCGAATTCTGCCTTTAAAGGTTTAATACAGAAACCACGGCACAAATGGGCCTTCACATCACCAAGCACTCCAAAGTAAAACAAGCTAATATACTGATGTTAGGACTTGATTCTGCAGGGAAATCTACTCTGCTGTACAAGTTCAAGTCTGATGACGTTTTTCTAACAATTCCAACAATTGGCTTTAATGTCGATATGATCGAAACTGGGAAAGATTTTACGCTGACTTTTTGGGATGTTGGAGGACAACAGAAAATGAGACAGCTTTGGTGCAATTTCCTGGAGAATGCAGAAGGACTCGTGTATGTTGTGGACAGCGCTGATAAGCAACGTCTAGAGGAATCAAAGAAAGAATTTGAACTCCTTTTAAAGAATGAATCCATAAAAAATGTACCGGTCGTCGTGCTAGCAAACAAGCAGGATTTGCCCGGAGCTTTAAATGCTGAGGAAATAACCAGGAGATTCCACGTGAAGAAGTACTGCTGTGACAGAAATTGGTACGTACAGCCCTGCTGTGCTATCACGGGAGAAGGTTTGTCAGAAGCTCTCCAAAGACTGACTGCATTTGCGAAACACTACAGCAGATCAAAGGAGATCTCTACAAGTTTTAAGCAAAATGAAAAAAGTTAAGAATTTCTACCGTCAGATTTTGGTGAATATGACTCAAAATATTTTATCAGAAAGACTAAAATATTTAATTCTGGAGAACTCTTATAAGTAAATAAATATTTATAATGCACTTTGACAATTTTAAATTATATTCTTATACCTCCAGATGCTTCTGAGATACTGCTGCACTTCATTTTATTAGTGGCATCATACTCAGGGTTATTCAGCTCAGAAGTGTGTGTTGAATGGTAAAAAAGGCAGAGTTGACCACTTTAATTTTTGCAGTTGCAAAGAAAATAGGTGAGCAACGCTTAAAATGTTTATGCCAAGTAATTCATCAAAAGGTAACAGAGCCAAGCAGTTCATTCAGCACGCAAAGCAAGAGATAAGATGTTGTTTCATTAGATGTACTTTGTGGATGTATCTGTTGTATATAGTTGTTTGTAGCCTAAACTCTTAGTTACGTACAAAAAGAAATGTGACATTATTAAGTATTTGTTTGGATATTACTGCATTCTAGGACCGATTACTATGAATAGATTTTAACAAGCAGCATCTGTTCCTGCCAAGCCACAGATAAATCTGCTTTGTAAGGTGTAGGTCTGATGTCACACTGTTACCCACCTCCAGGTACCCCCCAGTCCCTCTGCTTTTGTTTGGGGCTGCTGGTCAGCTCTTAGAAATCGGGATGGATCCTGTCCTACCTGTACCAAAGCCACCTTAGATTTTGTTACTGACTAATTTAGTTCTGATTAAATTTGACATAAGAAGTGCAACAAAGTGCTAATCCTGTTACTACAGTTTGGGGATTAAAAAATAAAAAAATAAAAAAAAAAATAAAAAAATTGAATGAAATTTCTGTTGAGATTTCCTGATTCATGGAGTGAATTAGTATTCTGAATGCTATTAAAGCAACGATGGATTGTTAACTAGAAGTCTAATTGAACTGCATCAACTGTGAAAACAGTTTAAAAGCTAAGATGGAAAAGTTAATAGAGCCTGTTCCTTCATAAGGAAGCGAAAAGAGACCATGTAGTTATTGGTTATACAGTTCCAGAAATTCCAGACCATCTATTTCTGCCTTTTTGAGCCATGTCTACAGAGGTAGGATGCTCCGAGGCTTAGGATGCTTGCTTAGACACTTGGATTTCTTCTCCCCTGGATCTATCATAATCCCTGACCACAGGCGAGTCCTTCAGTCACTCTCAGCCTCAGCAGTCCCTTGGCAAAATGATCTCTGAAAGGCTGTGGCAAAGCTCAGCACGTGTGCCTTGTCTGCAAGAAGTCTGCATTTCATTCTTACTAATAAACAGGCAGAAATTTCAAGTTACAGAAGGGTGAAGAAGTAAGTAAAGCACCCAGCTGTACCCTATTGTCTCATGCATGTATTATTCACAGACAAGAAGTCATCAGGTGAATTCACTGCAATAGTGAACAAAGGAAGCTTTCTCAGCAGAAGCTGTTATTAACACTGACAGTAATTACTGTGGGCTAAATCCTGAGTCATGTTGAGCCTACATTTCCAAAAGCAGAGCAAGTTTGTAGACTCGACATTGCCTGGGCTGTTCGTTTAGAGTCAGTGTAAAATACCTTGTAGCACAGAAAATATTTCTGATAAATGTGCAACCATGGAAATGTTATTTTTCCAAACTCGACAATTCAATGTTAAAAATGTAACATTTCAGATCAATAAATTTATAAACATTTGTATGAGTGTGATTTAATTCTCCCACTAGTTTAATCTGATCAGGTGTCTATTATAAATCAGAACCCAGTTCACTGGCCTCAGGACTTCCTCATTCAGCAAGAGATTTAACGAGTGTACCATGGTCTCTAACTAGACAAGAAGCAAGATCTGAAGGGAGAAACAGCACAGTATGATTAGACCCAGTTGATAGAGCTAAAATACAGAATAAGCTCTCTGGCACACAGTCGCTTCTCCAGGTTGTCAGATTAAATGATGCCCACATTGATTTGAAGAAAATCTTATACATTGCACTTCAAAAGAAATAAGACTTTTTCACATTCACTTAATATTAAGTTTTTTTATTATTATTTTTTTTTTCTAAGGGCTTTCCTCATGAAACAAATCCACGGCCATTTTATCTGCCTATGGAGACCCCTTTCCCTGAATAATTTTTAAGCCTTAAAACAAATATCAATCAAGTTGGACATATAGGAGGATTCTCAAAGGAACTGCATGCTTGAAAGTTTAATTTAAAAAATCAATGAGATAGAGAAAAGTGACCACACTGGTGCCCCCACTGAAGGCAAGGCTGATAAGGTACAAGAGACTAATCTCCCAGGGGATAAATGCTCCATTTTAGCATTTCAGCCACAAGAGAGCCAACAGGAAGAATAAATCCACAGAGCGCAAACCTAATTAGTTCGCCTGCTCCCAGAGCTCCTCCTTGTTGGTATTTTTCTATACTGTATGGATGAAGAGTGTATTGGGCTTCTTTGGGATGAGGATATAGTAGGCATAGAATCCACTGTTTAAAATTTCCTTTCTACATCTGGAGTAAAGCATCTCCTTCTGTACCCACTATATCCAGGGCAAGGCCTGTCAAGAGGCTTATTTTTTAGGTAAGAAGGTGCAGAGGAAGTGCAGCCTTTGTCTGAGTTTCACAGGAGCACAGAGCAGAGCACCTCTGGGTGGGTTCTGCAGCCAAGGTGGCACATCTCCCTGGCCCACAGCCAGGCACGGTTTGTGCTAAATCAGAGGTGGCGAGCAGGGCCTCCTGTGCAAGTTGCCACATCTGTGCCTTCTGCTCTTGTGCACATACACAGCCCAGGGCGCTGTTTGCTTCCTGCTGGAAGCCTGCAAATTGTTTGATACCTGATCCCATCACAGGTCACATGTGAAATTAATGGCAAGGAAGTTAAAAAGATATTTCACCACTCCATTCTGCTATGGGGAGCTTCAGATCATTCAACTGCTTGGCTGAAAAATACAGTAAGCAGAGTAGTGTATATGTTAAGGAGCGCAACCAAACTGAATCCTACTTGTGCTAAAAATACAAGGCGCAGCATCATAAGCACAATTGATTCCTGGATAACTTTTATTTTGTTATTTAAAAGTTATATTGGATACTCACTAAAAACAATTTTAGGATTTTTGAAGGAATGTTGAAGGTGCTTTGAGAAAGCAAGAAGAGTGCTGCCCCCTGGTTGTGCAACAGGAATGTCAGAAGCTGCTTTTTTACACTGCAGCCAAACTGAGTAGCAGACCAGATGGTGTGTGACTGGAAAAATTTGCATGGGGGGAAGGTTTTAAAGGCATTGGGGGTCCTGCCAGCTTACTATAATGATTCTGGGTTTGGAACTTTTTTCATTAGCTTTTGCAGTGAATCACACCCTGACTGCAGATCCCTGACCTTACGTTCCTTGCATTGCTTATTGATGCATATGACAATCTTGTGCAACTGCATGAGACAGGCAGAAACATCAAATACGTTGTAGCTACACTGTAGGAGTCCTCCAGTGTCTGCTATTACACAAAGTTGGCTGTGCCTGTTTGTTTCTCTTTAGAACAATCATCCCTGAATAATGGTGCTTAGCTGAGACCGTGAAACACGAAGGGCAGGATGTGAGAATCCTCAGGCACGCTGTATGCTGTCAGCTCTCGAGGAGCTTATTCAGTGGGAAATGTTTGGGTGTGACAATTTAGAAGTTAACAAATACGGAATACGGGGAAACATCCTTTTGACCAAACATTGATGACTGTGGTATAAAATCACAATTGTCTTTCTGAATTTTGGAACAGGTGTCACAGAGCTGATTGAATGCCACCCCAATAGGATTGAATGCTGTTTTAAGGAAAGACAGCGAACAACCTAAGGAACCATGGCACATTTGGATTGTAACACTCCCTCCGTCCTCTGGGAAACAACTCCTCCAGTAACTGAATACTCTGCAGAATCAAAGGAAGGGATAGCACAGAAGAAATGCAGGACAAGGCTTTCTCAGTATCAGGTAATCTAAGCTGGTCGAGTTACCTCACATGTCTCTATTGCCATTCCTCCTCATTTCAGACAACTTAACTGAAATAATGGAAAACTTTCGTATATCAAAACAAACATCCATCTGTTTTTATTTGTTCAGAATATTTAGAAGCACTGTGTGCATGTTGAAGTGCTTAAAGTAGGCTTTTTTGCTAAAGTAAATGACTCATGCAAAGTTCTGTGCTGCTACAATTAGAGTTCTTGCACTTGTAATTGACTCAAGTATTCCTATTAAGCACAGACATAAGGATTCTGGACATTTATTTCATCGGATCACAGTAGATTATTCAAGTCTCTGTAATTCAGAATGTCAATTCTTGTGGGTGGAGACCCTACTTAAAAAGCACACACCATATTCTGGGTAAAATTTCCAAATACAAATTAATAAAACTATAATAATTTAAAACAGACCTTATTTTGAATACACGTGACTTCAACAAATCATGCTTTACCTCATGACTTCATTCCTGCAGTACTCTGTGATGTTCTTGTCCTGCTCACAGCAGTGCACAGTTTACCTGCAGTGTCACTATGCTACATCTGGAGCAAAGCTGGGCTGCCATAAAGGGACACCTCCCCTCCCGCTCTTCTCCCTGACCCCTTCCCCAGGTACACAGTTACACTTGCAGGTCTTTGCACAGCAGAGATTTTCTCACTTTCCCACTGCTTCAATAGTTACCACAGAAGCAATGGCAGTTTTTGTGGTCTTTTTATTAGATTTTCATTGAGCTGTGTGTGCTTGCTCTCATGCTGCCCCTTATACTTGGAAACAATAACCCAAACGCATTTACAAAACTGTTTCATTGTTTTCTTCCAGATCCTTCCTTAAAGCACTCCCTTCCCACCATGTATTCAGAAATCCTGACAATAGCTCTCCTGCTTTTATGATACGGCCTTGGCCCATATTTTTGACAACTATTTTATTATTTCCTTGTACTCTTCTTTTAGCCTCAGAATGTGCTTTCTTTGGTCCAAAGATCATCTTTTTGTTCTGCATTTCATATACTGCCTGATTGATGAGAAGAGTTTATAGACTATATCCTATTGCTATCCTTAGCCCCAGTCCTATGGGATATCTGCAAAAATAAGCAATTTTTGAGTTAAAATAAACCATAAGGCTTCAAAATCTAAGCCTTGTGTATTTATCCTTTACAGCAAAGATAGTTGGAGACAGCAGCAACACCTGCACTGCTCCAAAGTACAGCCAATCTCCCTAACAACCATGCTTGGCTGTTAAAGGGTAACTGCCTTAATATTGCTCAGTTACTTTATCTAAGGTATACATATTAATCACTGAAGAATGCTATTCTCTCAGCCCTCTCTTAACTGATTTGGAATTCTGAATTCATGAGAAAATCCCTCATTTTGACGTAAAAATGAAACGTAAAGGTATTCTGTAAACAGCTTAACAACTACATGAGAGATGAATGTCAGCCTCCATCAGCCGGGTTTGATGCCCAGAGCCCTTCCACCTCTGGATGCTGTCATCTCACAGGGCCATGCCTTTTGACTGAAATCACCATTTTATTTTGCTGAGGATTTACAATATAAGGTTCATTGTACCTAAAATGTACATAGCTGCTCACAATAGGAATGCTGATGTATTCATCAGTTACTTACACATGCTGCAGGCAGCACAAGTGCGTAAAAATACAGCTTGATTTACTCTGGTTTATTTCCTAATCTAGGAAGATAAAATAAAAGAAGAAATAGTCTGCTTCAGACAAGGTATATAAGGAAATATGCAACAGGTGAACTGAGAGAAGATAAGTAAAGAAACACAATGGAAAAATAAAAAAAAAAAAGAAAAAGAAAAATTGA